CATTAGAGGTCAAGCAATTTTATCATTCAAGGCACAGCTACCTAAAAAAACTACTAAAAATAATAAAACCAAATTTCATATTTTTCTATACGTTTTCAGGTTGCATAAAAATCCAGTTTATGCTACAGCTTCTTGCTCTAAGAGTTTTGTTTGTCTCCATAGACGTTGAATATCTCAGTCAGAATAACATTAGGTCCACCTATTAGTCATGTCAGTCAGGCAAGTGTAAATAAAGCATCAACCAAACATTTCATATCTCTATATTTGTGGAAARAAACAGTGCTGCAAACTCACTGTGTTTCTCCGATGAGTAGAGGAGGGCAGAAGTAGCTCAGGGAATTTACTGGTAATGGTCTCTATTAGTCCAATGATTTCTTTGTACTGGACTGGGCTGGGCTGGTGGTTCAGTCTGGAGGATTAGGAGAGTAAGTCCTTGAATGAAAGAAGCAAAAACAGCCGACCAACACTTGTTCCTGCTGTGACTTAAAGCTGGATCAACATGTAAATATGAAGCTGTAGCAACACTGCATTTTAAAGTGTGATAGATAGCTACATGTCCATTACATGTAGATGCGTACATGAAATCTTTTGCAACATTTGGTGCACTGCATTAAACATCTACACATCTAACCTAGATCGCACTGTGCAACAATAAAAATGACTTTGTTAGCATCACTGGTGTGACAGGAGCTTAAAGTTATTAACAGAACTTTATAATGAATGGTGAAGCAAAAAACTATATTTTAGACCATCTAAGGTTTGACTCTCACTGGTGAAATCATTTCACTAGGCTAGATAACTAATAAATACCAGTGAATACTTTGCTAGTTACTGTAATGGTTAGAGAAATTATGTCCGACGTAAAAATCTGAGAACCTGATGCACATAATAAGTATTATATTCAACTGTAATTATCTTTTTTAAAGGTAAGCAGAAAACAACACAGATGATAGTTATGTCTGGAACAATCAGCAGTGATATTTAAGGAGGGTACAGCTGTCTTCTCACATGAATGAACATGGCTATCTTACTTTGGGCAGACTGAAAGGAACTGTTCAGACCTTGCACCTTACATCCATTTTGGATAATCAGATTCCTGAGGTAACATAACACCTTTATTTCCATTGCAATCCAGTCACTCAGGACAAAATTTAGCAACAAATCTGAACAGTTTCATTCAGATCCAATTTCTATATTCCTTTGAGCCTGACAGAATCTGATACACTACAAATGAACAACTGTGACACGAGTTTCTGTTAAGGATCTATCTTATTCAAAAACAGTGCTGGTAAATCTGGGTATGTCTGGTATGTCTTTACTTTACTCCTAATAAATAGAGCATCTGAGCTTTGCCTCTGAAAACAAAACAAGGTAATAAAAGCGTAGTTACACAGGTCTAATTGGCATTGTGTCACACTTACACAGAAGGCCCATTAAGTTTGTTTTTACCCGAACAAAGCGGTAGTGGCACTGATGGCTTGTGTGGCTACCGACAGGCAGGAAGAGGAGACTCCTGCGAGCAAGACCTCAGAAACCGCCCCAAACGCTGAGCCACTGGGGAACAGATGCACGCTTGGAGGCTGTCTGTCCATGCAACACAAACACAGACACAAAAATCAAGCTCCATTTGAGTCTGTTTTTGTTAAAAGACAATTTAGTTCAGTTACAACGGTAACTCACTGTCGTATGTAGTTTTTATTTAACATCATACAATGTATCACACTATTTCCTATGTAAAGATTCAAAGATTCAAAGTGTTTATTGTCATATGCACAGATGAAAACATGTTTCCCTGAGCAATGAAATTATTAATTTGTCGTCCATTTTGAAGGCCAAGAGATAACCATATTAACAAAAAGAAATGAATCATCACAGAAAGGACACAAACAATGTTGATTAGATAAAAGAGGAGACTAAACTAAGGATAATAACATCAGAAGGGAACAATAATAATAATAATAATAAAGACCTTAATACTAAAATTGAATTAAAGGCAGAAATTTTTCAAAAATTTTCTAATATGAACTTTGAACATGGTTTACAAAAAGAAAAAAAAGCAACAAAATGAGTATTGTTCCGGTCATGCTGTGCCAACTATTCGTCGACACTCTTGACWCTCTCCTCCTTTGGGTTGCAGAGAGCTGGTGTCTATCTCTAGCAGCCATTGTGCGTGAGGCGGGGTTTACCCTGAACAGGTCCAAGTCCATCACAGAGCCACACATAAATAAATGGCTATTCACACTCTCATTCACACCTAGGAACAGTATTAGAGTTGCCAAATTATACAGTATACCACCCATGTTTTAGGTCTGTGGGAGGAAACCAGAGTTCTCGGAGAAAGCCAATGTCTGCAAGGGAAGAACATGCAAACTCTAACTAAATAAAAAACCAGGCCAGGTGGCGATCCTGTGACCTTCTTGCTGAGAATCGACAGCTCTAAACTCTGTGCTGCCATGCCGCCCTGTTGTGCCAACACCAGTGACATTTTTCTGCCACTCTCTCCTTCTCTCAGATACACAGACACAATATTTTCTCTCTTTAAGGGAAACAGTGTCCACATAATAAATAACGTTAACATTTCAGAATAACAAAGAACAGCTGTTGCCTGGCTTTGTGTTGCCACAACAGTAGCAGAAAAGAACGTCCTAAATAACTCATACATGCACATAATTCACACTTAAGTTATTTTAGACAGTCAAAACCAACATGCATTACAAAAAAGCCACAAACAAAAAATACACAACACATTAAAGAGTAATTTAGGTAAGAACCTTGCCAACCACACAGAAATTTAAGCTTGTTCAGCACTTGGAAGCTGAATGTAGCTTTAAAGAACAAATTTCCCTGTTAGATGATTAAATCTCTTATCCCCGGCATCATTACTATGTGACGGGCAGCATTCCATTAAAATTATGCCAACCTTGCAGGAACAGGACAGTGTTTTATTGGTCTGCGATAGGGTTTCATCTCCAGGACAGCCGACAGTTAATTTAAATTCAATTAAACTCCCCTGTGCATCATATTTAACATGTTTTACAGCAGGTCACTTCACCATGCTGTTGCAGCTGGAGCTGTACGTTTGGTTCATTAATTGAGCATGTGGTCTTTGTGTAATTTAGATGTACAYGAATATGTAAATTCAGACCACAATAAATCACCAAAACTACAACACCATCTCGTAACCTAAAAAAACAACACATCAATTATGCATAAATTGTTTCATTAGCATATTAGCTTTGTCAAATACAAAAAAGTCCTTTCAAAACTAAGAACTTAATATAACTAATAAATGCCATTATTGGTAATAATAGATATTTGCTTATCTGTATGAGCACTATATGTATTATAAGAGTTGAAAATAAGTTTTCCGATTTTGAAGGCTTAGCCAATAATGTGTCAACCTCTTGTGTTTTAAAAATCTATTTAGTTACACAGCCTACAATTATTTATTTAAAACTGAATGTTTACTTTTAAGATCAACCACACATCCTTAATGACTTGAAGCAAATAGGAGAGTAATCGCCTACTAATTTATTTATACGGAAATGTTACCATATTTTGAAAGAACTGCTCATAAAAATTGAGAAGATTTTTTGCAGTCTAAGTACAGCTTTGAACATACTGCATACCGGTAGTTTACTTTTAGATTTTTTTTACATTATATTTCTTGAATTTTATGACATAAAAGAAAAACAAGTGATAGTGATACACTTAATACAGATTCACATTAAATAACTCAGTCCCCAAAGCAATAAAATAAATTAAAAAAATAAAAACACACACACACACATAAACAATAAAATAATAATAATAATAAAATAATAAAATAAGTAAATAAATAAAAAAATTAATAAAATGCATAAAAAATATTAAAACTCAGCAATCTCTGCACAGTTCTCTTAATGTCCTTTGTAGTGTTTCAGAAACTCGGTCAACGGTGACCATGTTTCTTCAAATTTCGCTCCCTTTCCTCTRACAATATAAGTGAGTCGCTCCAGAGTCATGGTAATGGTAATGGTAATTGGGGATGGGTACAACCCAGGTGAGCGGGGGCCTCATAAGTGGGCCCATTGCTCTCCCCAAAAGATACTGGGCTTTAATCAAACCTTTTTGTCCCTCGGATGAAGGACACCAGGTTAGAAACCCTCAGTGTTCTAAGCTTCTCGGGATCCACAAAGGGGTCTCCAAGAATTCTTTCCCTTAGACTAGTCAGAGCCAAGCATTGGCCTAAGTAGTGCAAAGAGGTCTCTGATTCAATGCCGCAGGCATCACACAGACCATTGTCTTGGAGTCCCATCACCATTTTATGGTGATGGGACTCCAA